CCAGGCCTGGCTCCAGAGTGGGGCCCCGGTGACCCACGTCCGGGCAAGGGAACATTAGGTCCGTTTATTTTTCTCATCAAAGGGGTTTTTGGGCTGCACTTTGTCTGGTCCCTCACCTAGGACCTGTCTGCCATGGGTGACCCTACTAGGGGCATAAAGCCCCTGACAGCATAGCTCCTAGGATCATTGGGACACTCAAACCCCTCCACCACGGTAAGGTGGCAGCCCAGGGAGGGGAGGATACTAAATAAAAAAAATTAAAAAAAAAAGGAAAAAAGTGTGAATGTTGAATCTGCATTCACCAGATAAGATTATACATTTTGTAACTTTAAGATCAAAGTTTACGCCTCAGACAAATTTGTCTAAAGATTACTTCAAGTCCCTCATCTCAGTCACAGGTGTCAATGAGCGTTGATGACGGTGAGGACACGAAGGACAGGGGGGACGAGTCTCGCAGCAACGACCCGACGGATCACCCCCTGCTGAGGAAGAAGAGCATGCAGTGGGCTCGGCGTTTGAGTAAGAAAAGCGTGAGGTGGCAGGGGATGAACCGGGACTCAAGCAAAGACCATGCTCAACGCATCGCCCAGCAGCGCCTCAACCTCTACAGGCGCTCTGAGAGGGAGGAGCTGTCTGAGCTGGTCCGAAACCGCATGAGGCATCTGGGCCTCCCCACCTCCGGATATGGTAAGAGTATATATTTTTGTTTTGTTGTATTCCACTGAAGTTATTGACTTTTCTTTTCCAGTATCATGTGTGTTTTGTTTACATGCAGATGACCTGACTAACCTGACAGCCAGTGACGTCATGAACAGAGTCAACCTGGGATATTTACAAGGTGAAGGTTTAGATCCGCAGGCACAGTGATTAAGACTGTGATTGAGCTGACTGTGTATGTGTTTCTGTTTCAGATGAGCAGAATGATCAGCAGAACACACTGTCCTATGTTCTAATAAACCCTTCTCCTGACACTAGGCTGGAGCTCAATGACATTGTGTAAGTACTTCAAGAAATCCCTTCAAAATTAACTCTCAGGTAGTCCTTTCACAATACGTATCTGCCATGGTTATGAGAGTAAAAAGCCAGTGTACAAGGATTAGTTTAGATAATGTTCTGTTTATTAGCATCTCAGTTCTGTTTCAGGTATTTGATCCGTTCTGACCCTTTGGCTCACGTCCCAGAGGAGCCACCTATCCACAGCAGCAGCCTGAAAGAGAGGCACGAGTCCAGCACCAGGGAGGACACCCAGAGACGACACAATGTTTGCCTTTAACTCATGGATCTCATACCAATCACTCTGTCGCTCTCAGCTCGTAACAACAAACATATTTTGTGAATTCATGTGCCTACCTACTGCCTAATAACAAATGTTTTTTTGTGTTGTCCTCTTACCACAAATACTGTAAATAAGGCTCGTTCTTTTAGCATATTAGTATGCTAACAGATGGAATTTAAGTCAGGGTCATATGTGCAATGCTGCCATTAGAGTAATCCTTGTGACACTGTTTGCTATCAAAACCTCTTGGAGTAAAGCTTAAATATAAATATGATGTATCTGCATTTAAAAATGCATATGTTGCACTTTTTACCATTTACCACGAGTTATCTACAACTTCAGTTTTGAAAAAGTTGGGACGTTGTGTAAAATGCAGATAAAAACAGAATGCATTGATTTGATTATTATAGTCACACTGGAACACAGTAAACATGTCATCTTTTCAAATAAAAAAATAATTATACCTTTTTTTTTAAACATGATGCCATTTTGCATATCATGACAACACATCTTTAGAATAAATGGGGCAGAGACATGTTTACTACTGTGAAGCAGCCCCTTTTCTTTTGGCAATAACCTGTAAACATGTAGGAACTGAGGACAGCAACTAATGTTTTTGAAGGGAAATGTCTCATTCTCGTGGATCTAGCTGTTTAAATTCAAGTTCAAGTAGGTTTATTGTCAAATAAGAGCTTACATTTAAACTAGGCTCATTTCTGAAAAGTCCTTAACTTTTTATTAAGGTATAGTTGCAAGATATTTTGTATCGTTGCACCTCTGATTTTGCTGTTTAAGCCCTCTAGAAATCATACTTGTTTCAATGGTTACATGTTTTCAATGCTGATGCAGACATAAATGGACACATTTATCAATCAAAGATCTCCTCGCAGCTTTAAACAATGAGTACAACATTTTGGTGCTCATAAACATTTTATAAATCATAATCTAAGAAGAGCACGTCAGTTTTTTAAAGTTTTAAATACTTGTAAATGTAACCCTACAGTTTGAAATGAAAGTCAAGACTTACAGAAAAACAAATCCCTTCATATATTATTATATGCAGATGATGATTAGAAGTATTAGAAAGATGCTAGTTTTAAGCTGTAGTAGTATTGAAGAGCTGTAATAAAACTAACGATAGATGATTTAGATCATTCATTTTGCATGTGATGCAGTTCAGTTTCTGCTGTAGCTACATGATGGAGTAACACCTATACAGAGCGATGCCAAACTGGTTTTTCTGATTTCACACTATCCGGATGTAACCCTGATCTCCAAACCTAGTTCCCCAACTGTTCTTTACCAGCCAATAATCCTTATTATTCTGAGTAGCATTACCCACAGACTACAGGGTTAATGTTCTGGGTGCAGGTGGGGTCATCATAAACTTCGTTCCTGTAACACAGGAAGACCTGGCTTTAACACACCTGGCTTTATTTGCTGGATTTCTCATTTCATGATGTGATAAATGTATTTAAGTGGTTAGAAGTCTGGACTGCAGGCAAGCCAGTTCAGAACCTGGACTCTTCTATGATGCCATGCTGTTGTAATTAAAATATATTGTTTAACACTGTGTTGCTGAAATATGCAATGCAATATTCTAGGTTCAATGCTTTTAGTTGTATTTTTTATAGACTGGTGAACCACTGCCCATCTTTACTTCTGCAGATTCCAATTCTTTAAGATGCTCTTGTGATATCCAGTCCTCCTAATGACCTGCTGCCTGTTAACACTGTGTGAAACACTCCTACCACTTAATTTTACAGACTTTTGTTGCTCCTGTCTTAACATTTTGCTGCCATCAAAGAGGAAATTATATTTCATGAAAGGTAAAATTATTTACTTGAAACATTTGGTATGGTTACTATGTTCTATCGTAAATAAAATATGGATTTATGAGATTTGCAAGTGTAAATATTCTGTACTTGTTTACACAGTGTATTACACAACATCCCAATATATTTGGAATTTAGGTTATGAATCAAATGTTTATAAGTAAAACAGCCCAAAGTGACCTAGAAGAAATGTGCATTAAAGTTTTTAATACTCACTTTTATCAGCTTATTCCAGGTAGTTCATCAGTGGCATCATGATCTATGGTAGAAACTAACAAACGTGAATGGTTATTTACTGCTTGTAGCTGCAGTTTCTTTCTTTGGTCTTAGGTTTTAGCACCGAGGGCTCAGTTCAGCCCTTTGAACTGAATGTGCAAAGTATTTAGTATTGTGCAATACAGTATATATATAATTAATCGGAAAAATGTAATTTTTCTTCTTAACAATCAGTGAAAATTTTTGCAGATTTATTTACAGTTTTGGTTCTTTAAACAAATCTTGACACTTTTTGCATTTACTGTCAGTCTGATTTTGTACAAATGTCAATGTTGACTAGATTTGTACTTGAATTTAGTTTTATGTGCACATTAAAGTGCTTTAAAATGCATTAAAATGGTTTAAAGTGTTGAAATCTTTTGGTTTTGTATTGTTGACCTCATGAACACTATCAGAATAATATTATAATTAATAATAATGAGTGCTGCCTGTCTGTTTTTCCACTTGCTGGTTAATCCTTGCAGAGTGTTTGTCATATTATAAATCTCTGTAAATTTCTTCCATCACCAAGACGACTGAAACGGTTTAGTTGGCTGCAGAGGGACTGCGACTTCTCATAAACAACCCTTGCTTCAAGTTTAACAAGAAAACATACCTAATTGCATTTTATTATATCTCTTTAAAATAAATAAACAAAAAGTACAACAGAAGTAAACATCTCTTTAACAGAATAAACTGAAAAATAGAGCCTACATTTTAGTAAACATAACTTGTACATTACGTACAAAAAAATACTATTCCAAAATGTACAAAATGCAGCAAACAAATATCAAGTATAGTGCAGTTTACCCAAATATCATTCCAGCCAGGAAAAAAAGTCTTTACAAGGAAACTGCTGGGTCATCAAATGTTAACGTCTCACCAGAATTTAAACAGCAATGAATGAGAAGCAAACGGCTCGTTGTGTTGGATCAGAAGAGACGATCAAGAATTTCAAATGAATGTGAAGTCAGTCCAGAAAGCACTTCTTGTTTGGGAATAATAAACACAATTCTTTTCATTTGTAAGACTTAACAACTTGTTTTTCACTGTAACGGCAGCGAATGGCTCAAATTAAAATAAAAACGAACAAAAAGCCGTGTTGTGTGTTGGAAGCTTGAAATCATGATTATCAGTTTGAACATGTTATGACCTCAACACCAATACAAAAACTCATTTCGATCTGCAAGCACACTTAAAACAACAGATTAGACATTAATGACCCCTAACATACAGTATGTTCCACACATACATACATTGAAATGGTATTTTATTTTAAGCCCACCTTTTCCAAAAGCCCATATCAGTAGCAGAAACAGATGTGCAGTCAGATGTTTGATTTTTTGCCAAGCTGAAATACAGTAGTACACATCACTTATGAGGAAATCACTTTGATTAGAGGTTAACCGATTTGACTTTTGCAAAAGCCAATGCCAATTTTTAGAAATCAGGACAGCCGATATATGAAGCCGATTTTTGACTTGTTTTCGGTTTATAAGTGTAACCTTTGAAAGTGCACGCAAATAAGATTACAATCTACTAGGTTTTGAAAACTAAAATGCAAAGCCAGTGCTGACAGTAGCATGGATTACAGAGAATAGGGCAAAAAACATTTTTAGCAGCTTCACAAATATTTTCTAAAGCATGTTTTTATCTATGTCTGTCTGTGTGCTCCTGTCTATACCAAAATATCTTATATGACATGAGAATTGTAATAAAACGTAGAAAATATTAATCGGATGTACAACTGATTTCCTTTTTGAGTCAAGCCGATTCAAAGTGGCTGCCACAACCATCTGACATTTAAAATCACATAAATTACCATAACTCGGTCAGTTTTACAGATGTTGACCTAAAATTTGATGTGGTAGTAGCTGAGAAACATCTCCAACACATACTCAGTGTGACAGCTCATGATAGGGCACGAGTGTGCATGATGTCATTTTCATGATTTGACCAAAATGTCTCAAACTCTGGTCTCTTAACGTAGGATGAGCTCAGGGTAAAACCCTGGCATGAAAGGCCGCAGGCAATATGCATTCCTTTATTGAATGCTAAGCCTTGAATTTCTGTTGTTGTTGTTGATATTTTTGTTGATGGACACAGTTACAGATCAAACAAATATGTCTGCCTTTTAATGGATTAGTATGCATTGACATGGCTGACGTTAATTATTAAAAAATGGCAAAAATCAGCTTTAATAATCAACTGCCCGATCAATCGGTTGACCTCAAGCTTGCACATAATATTTATTTGCACTTGATGTTTGTAGAACATTTGCCACTGTGCAGAGAATTAGCTAAATTACACTCATCAGTTTAGTTTATCTTCCTGGTGCATGAAAAAAAAATCCCCATCTGTGTATTATTGATGTATGAACCATTTTTAAATTAAAATACTGAAGTGTGACATGCAGAATAAAGCAATGACAAGATGTTTAGTACATGTTGGTTGGCGTTTTATACTGTGCATACTCACACTGCCACATATCATAAAACCTTCCCCTAGGAAGATGTTAGTCTCCTCTGAGTTATTTGTCCTGCCCTTCAATAGCTTCAAAAATTGTTACATGTCCTAACGTGTTCACTTCCGGCGTGCACTCCCTGGTCTCCTGACCTGCCACAGGTGATTGTGGATGGTCAGAGCGTCCACACTAACAGACACGGACTTGGCAGGAATGACTGTGAACTGTTTGCGATCCGAGTTGTATTTGTAAAGCTTGTCGATCATCTTTCGGCTGATGGTGCGTGGGCCAGTGCCTGTGAACTTGATGATCTCCTCAGTGTCCGGTGAGTAAGAGTAAATGGCACGAAACTGGCACCCACCGTCGCGGAAGAGGATGATCAGGTGGTTGGATTCACACTTTTCTAACTCCTGAAAAGCACAAACAACAGTCCTCAATGAAGATGAGGGGACAACATGAGCAGAACAGTGTAAGACACACAAAAAGACAGATACAAAGTTCCCTAATGGCTTTGTAGGTATAAAGTAACTTTGACCAATTCAAAATGAATGTGTCTGTGTTTGTCTTTAGTGTTATAATAACTCATGAACCAGAGGACATATTTTTATTTAAACTCTCAAATTGTAATTGTTGTATGCCCTTGTTTAACTAATTAACCATTGAAGTCATCCCAACTCAAGATGGCTGCCACAATTAACTGACATTAGCGTCCACAAAGATGTGTGATATGTCACTGATTCTTACAGATATTGAGCTAAAATGTGTGTTAGTAGCTGAAAGTCATTCATAATACATACCCCAAGTACAAACAATTCATGTGAGATCACGTAATATAATGCAAAATATCACAAAAACTGTTATGTTTAAAGTTTGACCAAAGCAGCTACAACTTTTATTTCTCAACACAAGTCGTACCTCAAGCACAACATTCTTCTGGACCTCGTTAACTTTTCCAGCAAGGCAGCAATGGGCGATGGCATTGATGATGATTGGTTTGTTCGATTTAGAGCTCGGCTCCTTGAAAAGTTTAGGACCTTTAAACAAACACAAGATCAACAAAATACATATATGTTATTGTAGATGTGTGTTTTTTTTTTTTTAAGTAGATTAAATTCTGCATTTGTGCTCACCATTGTACTCGGTGGAAATGATGGATGAGGCTATAGAGCCGCTCTCCCAATCCCGCTCCATGTTCCTGCTGGAGGCCCTGCTCAGGACGGGGAATGACTCCATGGAGCACACAGACCCAGCCCTTGTGGAGACATGAGTAAGTTGATCAGATAACTGTGGAGATGCACAGGATTTTTCATGTGATCACAGCATTTAGAGAGAAAATTCTCACCTGTTTGACTCTGCGCCTCCAGAGATAACGCTGTCGGCATCTGTCGCCAAAGAGAGCGTTGATCCTCTGTGACTGAGACTCAGATCAGCTAAAAATGAGAGAAAAATACAGTAACACCAGATATCAGCTAGTTTTAATAAGTAGTTGTTACATTAAATCTCCAGTTTACGACTCAGACCAAAGGAACTCAAATAAGTCGCTTTGATGACTGATACCTCTACTAAGATAAAAACTATCGTACTTTCCACCGTAAATGTTGCACCGTCGTATAAGTCACATCAGTCCATATATGTCTAATAAAGTGGAACAAAAGATAAGATCTTTGCTTTGCCATATAGGTTGCATTTATTATGCGTCACCGCTGACAACCCCGAAACGTGGGCCGGTGTTGTGCTAAAAATCGATTGGCTGCCAAACGTGAACGGGAGGACTTTAACAAGAATTTAACAAGATTAACACTTAAAAACAATTATTTGTTAGTTCAAAATTATAGCAAAGGTGTGTATCAGTTTAACTTTTCCTTAATAAATGCACTTTATTGGTCAAATCAGCTGCATTCAAAAGCCTATTCATGGCTGCGGGAGTGCACAGAGGGGGCAATGCTCACTGTGCATTTCTTCAAAATGTACTGAGATAACCACCTAAAAACAAATATTTGTTTGTTCCACATTATAGTAAAGGTGTGTCTCAGTTGAACTTTTTCTTAATAAATGCACTTCAGCGGTCATATCAGCTGTATTTCGCCTGGGCGATGCGGCGAAATACAACTGATTTGACGTTTGCACCAGGAGTTCCAGAGTGAGACGAAGGTGGCTTTATATGGCAAGCCAAGTATCTCATTAATAGCCACTTTTACCTATGAATGAGACACTTGGCTTGCCATATTACTCAACCACCCTCTAGTGGCTGAAAATGGTAATGTTCAATATTTTCCATGTCAGAATGAATGAAATCGTCAGATCTCAGCCAAAAATTGGGTTATAAATATGGGGAAAAAATATATTAGTCGCTTCGGTGTATAAGTCGCATGATTTGAAAATGTATGCAAAAAGGTGCAACCTATATGGCAAAAAATACAGTACATGTGATAAACTGTTTTAGTTTGCTGTATAAACTCTTTAATAAGCTGTGCATGCTTGTCAATAAACCATGCAGAGCAGGAAAGACTGTTCACCTTCCCTGCCGCCTGCTGCTGAACTTTGGGCTTTGATTAACTTGGACACCTTCAGAGATTCACCTGCACAACACATGTATACACACTTAGGGGATGACAACAAATACAAAACTAAACTAAACTAGTATCTCACTTTGTGAACAGGTAAAAATGGAGACAACATAGAACAATTGCCTAAAACAAAACTTGTGTTTCAGCTGTTCTTACGTGTGGTGGATCCTTTGGAGAAGCTGCTGGATTCTTCACGGTGCAGTGATTTGGGTCTGTTTCTGCGAGGTTTAGTTCTTGTGCGAGGTTTAACCAAACCTTGCTCTTCCATAAGTGCTTGCTGCTTCCTCCGCAAATACTCCTGTTTAATTAGCTCTCGCCGTGCCTTCTCCTCCTCCTTCCGCACACGCTCCTCCTCAGCTTTACGCCTTGAACGAACATTGCAAGGGTTAAGACATCCAGTTCAATACACCTGTACCCGCACTCCATAGATTAATCTTCATCCTTGTTTGTGCATGAGATCTAACCTACCGAGCCTCGTCACGTTTGAGCTCACTCTCTACTTCTTGCTGCTGTTTGCGAAGTCTTGCCTCTTCCGCTTTGCGCTGCTGTTTGAGGAGGAAGGCAGCGCGACGTTTGGCCATTTCATCCTCTGCTTTCTCGTCATCCTGCAATTTAAAACAGACACTATTCACATATCTGCATCTTATAAACAAATACATGGTGAAAAACTGTGAATTGTACCTTAAAAAAGAAGCCTAACACGTTCTTCTGCTCAACTTCTGCTGAGCTCTCTCTACTGCCTGTGCTGCCATTCTCCAGTGGATCTTTAATCTCAGACAAGTCAACCTCAATCAGCTGACCTCTGAGCCTCATACTTTCATCAACATTGCCAATCTCATTGCTTGTGTTAGAAACTTGTTTCTCCTCTTCTTCTGCATCTTCTGTTATGGATTCTGAGGAGTTGGCAATAACCGGTGGGTCTTGTGAATTTGATTTGCCTGAGCAGTTCCCACCTCTCTCTGTGGGGCTTTCATGAACTCTAAAGGTGGCCTTCCTCTGAATACTTCTCTCAGTTTTGTAGCTCTCGACAGCATGCCCTGTCTCGTGCTCTCCATCAGCACATTTTTTTGGAGAAGGCTGGCTTTCTGGGGATGGGATGGTTGAGTTGGTGGCAACGGTTTTAGTGTTTTCTTTGCTCTTTTTCTGCTCTGTTGCTTTGCTGCGTTGGCTGGAGCTAAGCTTGGGAGGACGGCGCGCAGGGAGAGAACTGCTGCCACTGATATCTACAAAATGAACTGCAAAAGATCTGGGGTCTGAGGTAGAGGGAGTTGTTTGTGTGGCATTGGGGGTTGTGCTTTGGTCTGTTTGCAAACTGTCTTGGGGTGAAACCACATTCTGCTTCATCAAGAGGTCCTGCTGTAAAGAGAGCTGCATCATCTGTTGCTGAATAGAGCTAATAGCTTGATTAAGTAGATCTATAGAGCGGGAACACCCGTTTACATCAGGTTCAGAGCTATTATACTGGGATGAGGTGTTCCACTTGTTGTCTTTGTTTATCAGTTGTTCTTCAGTTTGATCTTTCAGGGCATCTAAACAGGAATCATCCTTGCAGGACTGGGTCTTAACTTTCCTCCTGCTAGCCGTTGTTGATCCAGAAGAATCCTGGGAGTGTTTTGGTGGTAAAGGAAGTGTGTCGCTCCTCCCTTCACTCTTCTTAACAATGTTCAGGAATGCAGCTTTCCCAAGCTTTAGTCTCTGCCTAGCTGACAAGGCCTCCACTTTCTTCTTCTGATACTCTATCGCACGCCTTTGCTCTTCCAGCTGCATGTGTAGCTGAAGCAACTCTGAAGGCACAACTGATGGACAAACCATCACATTCTTCTCCAGTGCAGCACAAGACTCCTTCCCTAGCCACTGAGGTGCAATTTCAGAGCCATCTGGTGTGGTCTTCTGGGAACTGCTGGTACTGGAGTATCCATCACGGAGGCCGAGTTTAAGGAGCTTTTTCTCTGCGAAGCTGGTCATCTTGACACCTATGCTACCCGAGGCGCTGCAGCTGCTTGCCCACGATACAGTACTTGGGCAAGGACTTGAGCGTCCGCTGACATCTTCCTTATCTTCCCTCTCTGTCACCTTCAAGTCCTCTCTGAGTTTGGCTGATTCGCCTTCTCCGTCGCCAAACTCAGGCATGTATTCCTTCTCTAAACAATCTCCCCTACTTGTCCTCAACACCTCTGTCTGATCATCCTCATCATCGTCTTCCTCAAGGTCTGCAATGTCAGAATCAGAGTCATGCCCTACTTCGGGCATAGGGGTGAATGAACTGTGGTGGTCTGTTTCCCCTGACGAATGAAGGAAAAATCCTGGAGAATGTTTCCCAGACTGAGAGATGCCTGTTGAGCTAAGCACTGATTTTTCCACAGGTCTCGGTGGGCCGGCACTTCTGTTTGGCTCAACTAAAGGAGATTTCCTTTTTGAGCTGTTAGGTACATTGGCTGTAGCTTTCTTACCAGCTTCTGCTCCTCTACAGCAACCTTCACCGCTTTCTTCCTGCTTGTTCACAGTGATAATCTTCTCTTTGGCTCGCTTAGGGACAGCCGGTATCAAAGGCTCCAGATAGTAGCTGTCTGCCTGGTGGTCCAGAGTAAAGGGACTTGTGTCAGGGGGGAGAACATGACGGGTTTTAGAATCCCTGGAGGATAAGTTTAAATTATGCGTTTCCAGCTCATCCTGCTCCATTTCACTTCTGACTCTGTGTCGAGAAAATGCAGAAGGGTGGATAACAGAAACAAGTTCCTCCTCCTCTATTACCTCCTCTTCATCTTCTATGCACATGTGACTAAGCAGGCTTTGGCCACTGAGTCGGTGCTGAGGCAGAGCTGACCCCAGCATATGTTTGGGAGTAATGCTCATGATGTTAGAGGCTAAGCTGTCTTTGCTGATGGATCGAGCGATGCTGATGCTGTCTGATTCATCCTCTTTTGCAAAATGCAGAGTGTAGGGCACCGGCTGGGATAAAGGTCTAAAAAGAAGCAATGGAACAAGGTAAGTAAAAGTGTTATAAAGCTAAGAATAAAACCGCCGTATAACTAAGGAAAGTTCAGTTAATTTGGAAAAGCTGTAACCATGGACTCACCTTGTTTTTCTCTCTGACCACGCCAATATGGAGTCCTGATGGTGCCCATCTGATCGTGTCATGGGGTTTGACCTTTTCCTCAACTCTTCAAAAAGAAAACACTGGTCATATATTAGTTGGACTTTATATCTAAAAAAAAAAAGTAACTTATTTCACCAACTTAAACTTCAATAGAAGAAGCAATAACTAAAAGAAACTTTGAAACAGTAAAAAAAAAAAAAAGTCATTGAGTTTTTTGTTGTTTTTCAGGAAGTAGTCATTCAAATATAAATTCACGAAAATCCAAAGATCAAATTGTTCTTGGTAAGCTTTTTATTTCCTCTCTTATTTTTCCTCGTAATGTTTAGTTTAAAGCTCAGCAGCAGCTATTTTTGTGTTGTCTTTGTCCATAAACACGCTTTGCTGAACAGCATCTGAGCAAATATTTGACATGTATTACCTGAAGTGCCCTTTTCAACCGCCCTCTGCTGTCTCTGTCTCAAGGGGAGCAACGAGTGAGATGAGATGGAGGAAGTTGTTGTTTTGCTGAAAAGAAGGAAAACAAAGGTTCTTTTGTAACATTTAAATTATGTTGCTTGATTGTCTAATCCATTTTAAACCAACAATTTTTACTAAAAACTTTTCAAGCTTGAGGTATAATAGGCAATTATTAGGTGGAATTAGGTGGAAAAGTATTTTTAAACTACCAACACATCCACAATCATACAAGTCTAAGGTTAGATATTCAAACATATAAATGGAAAATGATTCTCTGATACAAAGCCAAAAACATATAATATAGAACAAATATTCAGTACCTCATGTCTGTGCTTGTGGTTGAGGTCAAGATGTCCTCTGAGTGGGATGATGGCATGCAATGTCGTTTGTTAACATTTGAGGTGGGTACATAAGATCGAGAACTTTTGGGCTGGAGCAGAAGTCTCACTGAAAAAAAATAGGTGTGCAAAAAAGACAGAAAAAAAAGGTTTACGTACATAGTTTTTATCCATTTGAATTAAAAGAGTCATACTTCTAGTATTTTTTTTAAGTTAATTTGATCAATATTTTTCCAGGCTTTCTGAAAATGTTTCAATTTTTTTTTTTTCTTAATTTGTATTTTCCTATTTTTTTCATTCCTTTCTGGTCTTTTACATGACCATTACAGAATTGTGCAGTTTGCGCTTAAAAGAAGAGGAAAGTGGATCAGCAGATGAACAACACTGTATTTGAAAGTCATGCTTTAAAGAACTGGGAATAAATTCAACAAAGGTCTGAAACAAAACCAGAGAAATGCATTATTTTCAGTTGATCATCAATTCTGTGTTAAGTTTTCAGCTAATGCTCTTTTGGGCATCCCCTTGTTGGTGAAAAATATTATTTTATGTGCCAAACTGTGTCATCTTTGGTATTTTATATGGTTGTTTTTTTTTCATTTAGCCTTTATTTATCCAGGTTAGAAAAAAATGTGTTTTTACAGGTTGCTATTAACAATTGTCTAAAATCCCTTTGAAAATTAAAGACAAAATTAATTGCAAAATTCTCGATGTGTTGACACAGAACTAGTTCATCTCTTGAGTTTAGACGTCTTATACACTTATATGATTTATAAGTCAGGGATAATTGGCTGAAGAAACAAAAAAAAAAGTAATTTGAAGTGAAAATGGTCAAGTCCTGGGCTGGAAAAATAGACAGAATATAAGTGGAAAAAGTAGCCAAAATAAGCCTGACAAATATTTGATCAAGATCTAAAATAAATACTATAAAGACTAAGTTCCGAAAAGCAAAATATGAAAAGTAAGTAATGTCTCAAAACTTTTGCACAACACTACAATTACTTCAAAGTAAGGAATATGTTATACCATCTTTGATTTCCTGAAGGCTTCTGGGCTGTACGAAGTCTGGCTTCACATTCTCAAACCACCAGAAAAGCTCAGCGATGAAGACCATGACATTAATCTGCAAGACACGATGGCCAAGGTGAATGCCAGGAGCAACACGCAACAAAGAACTCCCATCTCTTCCTTCCAACGTAACTACACGTATATCTTCTTTTTTTTTTGCAGAACACACACTAAATTTATATTTTTCTCTAAAGTTTCACATCTGATACAGATGATACACATCACCTGTATTAGATGAGACGACTTAGTGCAGAAGTGAAACGTTCATAATACTGCAAAAATGTCTCCTGGTAACATGCGGTGTGCTTTTAGAAATATAATAGCATAAGTGGAAGCAGAATGTGAGCAAATTAGCTCAGTTTTATTAATAGAACAATATATAATTGATCTCACTTAATACTCGTGTCGTGAGCAAAAATCATTTTAAAGAAGCAAAGAAAAGCTGATTCCTTTTTGATATTTTTATACTTTTCACTTTATTCAACCTTTACATTTGGCACAATGTGATGATTGTTTGAATGCAGTGCAGCTTTAAAGAGGTTTGTCGCTGTAACGTGTAGTGTTTCTTGGATTACCTTTAACACCGGTGGAGAGTACAGCAGGTCCTCGGGCTTCAGATGGAAACATTCACTTAAATATTCATTAGAAAACTCTTTCAGCAGCTGGATGTTGTACACACTTTCAGCAATGGAAGGAACCTCTTTCAAACAGATATCTGCACAGATCAGAACAACAGGATTCAGAACTGTCACGTCAATTCTGCAAAGTTTAATGGTTAAATAATCAGATGAGCCCTTTAAAACACATAGTTATTTTTATTAATGATGACTTTTACTTTTTGCATTGTGAACAATGTTCCTGTATAATATAGAGAATGTAACTATATATTAAAATTGTTATCAGACATATTTCTGCAGGTAATAGTAGCTTAACATAGAAAATTAAAAAATAAAAACTGTTAAGCTAAGTTGACAACCCCTTGTGAAAAAAGAGCACCGCATATGGCACATTATACCCACATTAACAAATTATTTTACTGCAATACAACAGTCTATAGCTAAAGTCTGGACAAGCAAAAGACCTTACATAACATTTGACCTTGATGTATGACCTTGATCTTGGAGCTGGGATCATGAAAAGGTGTATGCAACACAGTCTATATATACAGACGGGTGGACGGATAGAGACTATACCATAATATGTCCTGACTTCAATGGGTGTAAAACATATACAACTGAGTAAATATATTAGTTGAAATAAATAAAAGCACAATTAAATAACCTGATACATCAAACTAATCGTGTTATCATACCTTCCAGTCTAATGAGGTCTGGGCAGTAGAAGTGGATCATGGCTAGCAGAGCTGAACCGTCACACACGTCCTTCAACAGGTCGTCCAACAGAGGGAAGTGCTGCAGAGTGCGGCCAGACAGGTGATCTCTGCGGTACCGCACCTACACAACCAGAGAGATCCAAATGTATCCAGCGATATCTGATCCAATATCGTCACATGCTCACTCATAATACACATACACCACATTTTTCACTTTGTAAAACATCCTGTCTCACTTAAACACACATAACGCACAGACAGCAAATATATGTGATTTAGTTAAGCCTTCCCAAAGAGTGCTTTGTGCACCGGACACCTCATGTGGTGCATCACTGTGTGTCTTTACAAATAAGGTCTGGCAGGTATGTCAGCAGTCTTCAGTTATAACAAATAACTGATCAGTGTGTTTAGTGGTTCGTGGATGAAAAAGAGAAAAACAGTAAGTTGAAATGGAAAATAAAATGGGTCAATAATCTGTCTATCATGGTGCACTCAGATTCATAACTGGCTGTAACTACCGTACCCACCATTGCACCCTGTATTCACTGGTTAACTGGTTATAATTAATGTCACGCAGACTCTCTCACTGGTACATTTTCATCTTTAAATGACTTCTTGGTCTGCTGCCTTCATACATCTCCTCCTACATGTCTCTGCATGAGTGCAGCTCCAGCGTGCGCTCTCAGGACATTATTACCTGCAGTGTTCCCTCAATGAGGACTGAACTAGGCAAAAGGGCCTTCTCCTACTCCGCTCCTGTTTCCTGGAATATCTTACAGAAAGATCTGAAGCTCTCAACCTTGACCTCTTTAAGTGGCTTCAAACATCTGCTAAGTTCACTGGAAAAACCAACGCAGACATGTTCCTGTTTTTAGGATTTTGCATCGCTTTATAATGTAGCTGTTTTTGTTCCAATTTTCAACATAATTTTCTTCCATTTATTTTACAATGTATATGCTTTTTTATGATTGTCTAATGTTGTCATCATTCATTGTTAAAACAGGTCTCTCTTGTAAATGAGTTGAGGAGACTAACCTGTATAAATTAAGGTTGAATGAATTAACACACAAGAGAACTCCACAGGCTCCAATAAGCAATGGGCCAGACAGCATGCACTAAATCAGGCTGGTGGTGCAAGAGAGGAATGATGGGGAGGAAGTCACAAAGGAATTGAAACATATATGTGGATGATGTGGAGCTGTTTAAAAACTGGGGTGGTTGACGTGGTCAGCAGTTCATTCCACCTCTGTGGAGATGAAAGATGAAAATAAACGGAGATGTAAGAGATTTCAAATTAAAGCAAATGAGCATGCACTGTACGATCCTTTTTGCGCCACAAAACGGACTTTTGGTATCCGCAACACACGTGATTGTTCTTAATTTGTTTTTTTACCCATTTTAAAATCCAACTTTATTTTTCATCACAGCGACTTTTCAATCTGAAATTGACGCACGAGGACACACATATGCAAGGTAGGGTAGATGACAAACATTTACACTTACAGGTACAAGTTTCCAGTACCACTTGGAGGGAGACTAGTGTCCAAGAAGCACAAAGGGGAGGAAACAAACGAGATACAAACAGGAAGAGGAGCAGACAAATCGAGGGTCAGATACAGCGAGAGGACATCAGACTACCTCCTGTTGGAGAGGAGACAGATCTGATCTAGACATGATTTAGACAGAAAAGAAACAATAGTAGTTTGTTTTTAGGTATAGGAAATAACAACCACAGTATGCTTTGAATGATAATTGTAAGTCATCTCATCATTTTTGATTTTCTGTAACAAAGGTGGTCAACTTAAAGTGAGTCGCCAAACTTTGAGGTAGAACCGCATAGATTGAAAAAAAGAACTGATACAGCACAAAATTTAAGCTTATTCTGGACCACGTGACTCAGCCACATATAAATGCACACATTAATCAATTATCTTTAAATTCAGCACAATATGAGGCATTATATGAGACATTTGCACATTAACACTGGAAAATGTCCACAGTGAGTTACTTAAATTCTTAGCAGGTGCTTGATCACTGTAAAATAATACAACAGCATTTAAAAAGTGTTTTTTTTGTTTTGTTTTTATTAACAGAAACTTTAAAATGGCTGTTGAGTAGAAAAGGCAGGTAGAAATACATAATACAGTCCAGTACTTACTGGGTGCAAATCTGGCATTTACAAATAAATCATTATCAGGTACAAAAAAAAACTAAGTGTCCATTTTCTCTATAGCTGTATTATGAAGTAACTTGTTACAATGCACACACAGGGTATGTACCTGCTCACCGGGTACGTATCTGGCATGTACCTGGTACTTATATGGTACATATATGGTACTGAACTGGTGCATAAGGTGCATACTTCGTACTCAGTGAGTATAAACCTGGTATTTACAGGGTATGTGCCTTCTGATTACTTGTTATTTATTGGGTATGTACCTGATACTTACAGGGTAAGTACTAGCTATCAAACATATATGTATCTAGTACATACAGTGTATTTACATGGTATTTACAGAGTGTGTATTGATAATCACTGAGTATAGGTGAGGTACTTGGTATTTACCAGTTACATACCCTGTAACTACATGGTAATAAGTTACTTTATAATACATTTCAGGCCCTGTAGGTTACCCAGTAAGTTCCCGGTAAGTACCAGGCTGTATGATGTATGCTACTAAAAGAGGTAGAGGCAAAGTAAGACAAAAGTAGTGCTTTACTTTGTGGTGACTTGGCGACTCCAGCAGGTGTTGCTTCAGTTTACTTTCCTTTTCTGTGAGCTCCTTCATCTTAATGTTAACCTGAAGCAGATAAGACACTGAATAATTGCCGACTTAAAAGCACAAAAATCTAAAAAAAAGTACTACCTTATTAATCCAAAAGATCATTGCGTCTTCCAGGTCATATGGAAGCTCCTTGGAGGCGCTGATGTTTGTGAAGCGCTTGACACTGGACACCACCTTCTCGATGCTGATCATCTCTGCTGTGTAGGCCAACATCAGGGCATCAATGAGGTGGATGTGAGAGCTCTGGAAGGACAGAGATTTTTTTAATGATCTTTCATCAACAAATAAAAGTGTGTGTCTACTTTCACACCTATTTCAGTAAATAACACATCCATTAGCTGATGCTTCTAACAGTTCAGAGTAACACCGACTAAACTGCAGCTTTCCAGCCAGCTGGGATCATAATGTTTTCACACATACAGGGCACAAATAATATCTCAGTGGAAGGGATTCTTTTTTTTTTTTTTAAAGATGCACAGTTTGTCTCATATTTTTTGCAGCATCAGATTAAAAAAAACAGCAAAACGGTGGCATCATCTGTTCATTTTTTTTTTCATTTCAACACTAAGCTCATAGCAAAAACAAATTAGTCTAGTTGTATAGCTTGTGATGCTTTTTCTCTGTTTTCATTAAGTTACATGACCAAAGAGGATATAATAATAATAGATAATATAATATTGTAATTTTTAGTACACTTGTTTCAGTTATTTAATATATTGCGATTGCTGTGTTACCAACCATTTTAATGGGAGACGAGCTTAGATCCAGATCAGACACTGGTGCAGTGTTGTTCTCCAGGACATAGATGCCTCTTCTGGACAGGGCTTGGATGACAGACTGGTGGCTTTGCAGGGAGGCAGCCTGCTCAGCACGAAGGATGAGTCCACACACATGACAGTAGAGCTCGCCAGACAGCAGCAGGTGAATGATGGTGGGTTTGATGTGTTCCTGCTCATACTGGTCTGTATAAAAGGGGTCTCGTAGATCGACAGGGATGTGATCTGGAAAAAATATATATATGTTGTGGAATCATTTATAATCTGCTTGATTAAAAACATACAATGTCAGAAAGTTAGGTTTTTTTTTTTATCAAATTTATATTCAGACAAAAATAATGTTCTGCACTGACCTTCACATCTATTTTTGTACGGGCACGTAAACCAATGTCTCACCGTGTTACATAACAAAGCTCCAAGTGCACACACAATTAAAGTATTAAAAGGTCCGTGGAGAAACCAGTATAAAGCCATGACACTGAGATAAAGTCAGGGTCTGATCAACATGTCGACGGCTCTAAGTCCATGAGTTAACAGGACTTAACAAGGATGCTTAAGCTGATGGTGTTTCCCAGACAGCCTGCCTATGAGACCAGACATAGAGAGGCTATTTTTACATGCCTTGGACATGTTAATCCAGATTTAAAGTCTGCAATACTCTTGAATTTTAGCTTATACACATTCTGTATAGCTGGAGACCAATGGAGAGAAGGTCATGATTGGTCCGCTGGTATAATTATTAATTAACTTTGTTAATATTAAAAGGGAGTCAGTAGCTCCTTAGTTTAAGTCTGTTTAAAGATGGATGAGAAAGGAAGAAGCTACTACTACTTAGTCCGAAGCAAAGGAAATGTGTTTACAGGCACATCTAAAGTAAACATCATCAGGCCAGGACTCTGCAGTCTACAGCTGTGCTTGAAAGTTTGTGAACCCTTTATAATTTTCTATCTTTCTTCATAAATATAACATAAAACATTATCGGATTTGCACACAAGTCGTAAAAGTAGATAAAGAGAATACAGTTAAACAAATTAAACAAAAATATTATACTTGGTTATTTATTTATGAGAGAAATGACCCAATATTACATATTTGTGAGAGGCAAAAGTATGTGAACCTTTGCTTTCAGCATCTGGTGTGACCCCCCCTGTGCAGCAATAAATGCAACTAAACATTTCTGGTAACTGTTGATCAGTCCTGCACACGGGCTTGGAGGAATTTTAGCTCATTCCTCTGCACAGAACAGCTTCAACTCTGGATGTTGGTGGGTTTCCTCACATTAACTGCTGCTTCAGGTCCTTCTACAACATCTGGATTGGATTAAAGTCAGAACTTTGACTTGGCCATTCAAAAACATGAACTTTATTCTTCTTTAAACATTATTTGGGTGTTTAGGGTCATTGTGTTGTTGCATGACCCACCTTCTCTTGAGATTCAGTTCATGGACAGATGTTCTGACGTTTTCCTTCAGAATCTGATATAATTCAGAATTCATGGTTCCATCAATGATGGCAAGCCATCCTGACCCAGCTGCAGCAAAACAGGCCCAAACCATGATACTACCACCACCATGCGTCACAGTTGGGATATCATCCGTGCATAACAATGCTGTTATTGCAAGTATCACTCAGCCCTCCGTGAATAAAAAGCAGTCATCATGGCACTAACGATCAGATGTTGATGCTCCTCCTTTTACATGTGAACAACTCGTTTTGGCTGCCACCAGTAAACTGGTTGATCCACTATGAGAAAGAGCTGTTTATAAGTGAAGTCAACTTTATTTATAGAGCACATTTAAAACAGAAACTGTTATCAAAGTGCTTAACAACAACATCAATGGGAGTAAAATTCATGAAAAAAAATACCATTCACTAATGATAATACTGAATAATTAATAAAAAGCATTTAAAACATAGGATCACAGAACAAACAACAACAACAAAAAAAAACACACTAAATCAACTCACACTGTGTGAAATTCCTGTGAGAACAGATGTGCTTTTAGTAGAGGTTTGAACTGAGGAAGGGAGGTGACCTGCCTAATGTTAATATAATATAATATAATATAATATAATATAATATAATATAATATA